AACATTATTTTAGCTGAAATGAGTCTTTGCAACCTTGGTCGCAAGAAGGTTCCAGAAAACAACGCGCAGAACTTTCCTCCGTTATCACCGGTCCAATCACGGCCAATTCCAGTGTTGCCGCCGCTCCCGCTCAACCAACAGTTCGCTACCGCTGCAGTACCCGGTCAAGCCTCCGGGCCATCGACGGATCCCCCTGCTCCGGGATTGGCCGGTACAACCGGCGAAGCTACAGACGATTCTCCGCTGTCAACGGATGAGATCGTCACACTGTTGGCCCAGGCCATCATCATCAAGCGCACCTGCGCAACAAGAACACAACAGCTCCAAGCTATCATCTCCTTCGTCGCTAATTATGGACCGTGAACCCATAAAGATCGCCAACTGGAACGCTCGCTCCGTAGGGGCGAAAAACATTGAGCTTGCAGACTTCCTCCGCAAGCACGACATCGACGTGGGCCTTCTCACCGAGACCCACCTCAAGACCGGTGACAGCTTCTGGCTGCCCGACCACAGCATTGTCCGGCTTGATCGCACCAGCTCCAGGGGGGGCGGTGTCGCGGTCATCATCAAGAAAGGCATCAAGTACTGCACCCTACCCCACTACCGCACTTCCATCATCGAGGCCGTCGGCGTTGAGGTGGAAACATCGACCGGAAACGTCCGGTTCATCGTTGTCTACTGCCCCCGGCAATGTACCGTTAGCAATGGTACAGCACAGCAGTTCAAGAACGACCTTGCCATCATAACCCGCACCAATGCCCGCTTCGTAATCGGAGGGGACCTGAACGCCCGGCACGAGGCCTGGAGGAACTACCAGCAGAACCAAAACGGCCGCCTGCTATTCGACCATTCCCAGCATGGTCTCTATTCCGTCTGGTTTCCGGACGAACCAACCTTCACATCACCGGCGGGCAACCCATCGACGCTGGACCTGTTCTTGGCAAACACCAGATTAGCCAAGCCGGTTGCCGTCAACGACCTGAGTTCGGACCACCAACCGGTGCTGACCGAGCTGGGCTACAACGTGGCCCCTGCACCGTGCCAGCGGAAGGACTACCATCGAGTCAACTGGGTCCAGTTTCGACGCGTGGTCGACCGCCACATCGACGACAACCCACCACTCGACACAGTGGAGGACATCGACCGGGCCCTGGAGGGTCTCCATCAAGCCATATCCGTGGCTGACGAAGAGTGCGTTCGACGAGTTCCTGTGAGGGGTAAGTTTCAAGCAATTGATTCCCACACCAAACTCTTGATTCGGCTCAGAAATGTTCGTAGACGCCAGTTTCAGCGGACTGGGGATCTGCAGCGTAAATACGAAATGGTCGATCTGAATCGGCAGATCGCTTCCAGAATGGTCTCAATCCGGAACGAGAGTTTCGGGCGGCTCGTTCAGAACCTGGACGACCGTTCCAGACCATTCTGGAAGGTTGCCAAGGTGCTGAAGTCTCACCCCAAGCCCATTCCACCACTTAGAGTCAATGACGAACGGCTTATCACCAACGAAGAGAAGGCCAATGCAATTGGGGAGCACATTGCCCAATCGCATTTGCTTGGCTCTACAATCCCAAGTCCACTCGAGAACCAGGTTGTGCAGTGCGTCCAGACGTTAGATACCTCCCCTTGTGCCGTCCCTCCAGAAGAACGGATTACAGAGGAACAAATTTGCTCAGCGCTGAAATATAGTAAAAACATGAAGGCTCCCGGGTTTGACGGAATATTCAACCTAGCGTTGAAAAATCTCAGCCCGAGGGTCCACTCGCTGCTGGCTGCCATCCTCAACAGATGCTTGGAGCTGCACTACTTTCCAAGCATCTGGAAGGTGGCAAAAATCATCCCGATCCGCAAACCTGGGAAAGACCCTTCACTACCGTCAAGCTACAGACCGATTAGCCTGCTCTCAGCGCTGAGCAAGCTGTTCGAAAAATTGATCCTCAGCCGACTACACAAGTTTGTGGAGGAACATGACATTCTTCTTCCGGAACAGTTCGGGTTCCGCAAGGGGCATTCCACCAATCATCAGCTAGTGCGGGTGATGAATAACATCCGAAGTAACAAAGCTGTATCCAAGTCCACAGCCATGGCCTTGTTAGACGTCGAAAAGGCGTTTGACAATGTCTGGCACGACGGACTTATATACAAGCTTTGTAACTCCAACTTTCCACCATACCTTGTGAAAATCACCCGTAACTATCTCCAGCAAAGGTCGTTCAGGGTGTCGTTGAATAGTTCCCTTTCGGGACAATTTCCGATCCCAGCAGGTGTTCCGCAAGGGAGTCTGCTGGGACCACTGCTTTACAGCATCTACACGTCGGACATCCCTCCTCTAGGAGACGGTTGCGTGTTCTTTCTGTTCGCAGATGACACCGCGATAGCCGTCAAGGGTAGGATGCCTCGTGAAATTACGAACAAGCTGCAACGATGCCTTGACACCTTTACTGATTATGCCACCTCGTGGAAAATCAAAATAAACGCCTCGAAAACCCAAGCGATCATGTTCCTTCACAGACAATCACCAAAACTTAAACCGTCTCCCTCCTGTACCGTAATAATGGATGGTACAAGGGTCGAGTGGTCCACTGATGTTACTTATCTCGGGATGTTGTTCGATGAGAAGCTCCTGTTCCGCTCGCACATAGAGAAAACCCTAGTTAAGTGCTCCGCCTTGGTTAGGTGTTTGTATCCGCTCATTTGCCGCAGATCCCGCCTCTCAAGGCAAAACAAACTGGCTGTTTACAAACAGATCATAGCCGCCGCGATCTTATATGCCGCCCCGGTGTGGGAATCGTGCGCTCAGACCCACAGGAACAAAATCCAGGTTGCACAGAATAGAGTGTTGAGGATGATCCTAGATCGTTCATTCGACACAAGAATAGCAGACCTCCATCAAGAGGCAGAAATTCCCAAAGTAGATTCCAAAATTGATGATATGACAACTAAATTTATTCAAAAATGCAATCTTTCTGAACATGCTTTAATAAGCAATTTGTACATAGTAGGTTAAGTGTATATAGTAGAGTAGGTTAGTTTTAAGCTGTCAATAGTAGTATTAAGTAGTTTCTCTTCAAATTCTAAAAACAAAACAAACCAATCCCACCAAGGTGGTCGACCGTGTACTAAGTCTAGGACTAATCCTGTAAAACAAATTTTAAATTTTGCCCATACCTAAAGATGAAGAAAGCAATTAAATCACTTAGTAAAAAAAATTTATATGGTAATCGTCCAAGTTAAACTAAAATAAAGATCATTTAAACAATGTTTTTGCTCATTACTGCTTCGGACGGCGTGGCACTTGGTCCTGTTACAAGCAGGACCATGTCAGCGGCTAAAGGTGGACGGCATGATCATCTTTCACAATTAGGAATGAGCCTTGGGTCCCGTTTCACTAAACCGAAACGCGGAAAAGTTATATGTGCCCAACCGGTTCATGAGTTGATGGGTCGATAGGTAGGGTCCAGGTGAGGGAGCTGCCTCCCTGGCGTCGGTAGCATTGGTGTTCAGCACGGAAAACAAATCAAGGAAAAAAGAGTGAACCATAACCGAAACATTGAAATACTGGAAAAATTTAAGATAAAGTATAATAGGGGAATTTACGTATTCTCGTCAGTCTAAGCAGCGTCCGAAATTCTATTAGCGATTTCTCAGCGTCACACACATGCATGACAGGTTTGTTTGTTGACATTTATCTGCTGCTTGCTGTTCTACCAATTCCAATCGACAGAATTGATCAAAACGGGTTGAACATGTTTTTACAACGCTCCAAACTTCTCAGGTGAGTGTGACTATTGTCGGCAGTCTCTTTTTCTTCGGCACCCTTTCCATTTGAACTGCGTGTTAACCAGCTGTTCTATTATCGGCAACTCGAAATCAGCCGTATTTTGTAGTGTGTATATTTAATTTAAAGAAAAATATGGCATAACAGGATTGCACAGTCGTAAAAATGTAATCAGATTGAAGCTGAAAAGGTAAGGAATCGGCTGAATACATTCAGCGAAGAGTTTTGATGGGAAAATACAGTGAAATTAACGTTTCAATTTCGGTTGCCGAAAACAGTCAATGGGTGCCGAAGCCAGAATTTACCCTAGTCAAAAATGCATGACATACACACTTAAAAATAACTATTTTTACACGAGACGTAATCCATCTTTGACGTAAATTATGGAATGTAAACAAACATGTCATGTAAAATTAAGTGTTCCAAAACCGAAACATACGCAACTCGACGAAAAGTAAGATTGATTGAAATTATTTTCTCGTTTCTTTCGACTGATTCTTATGTCATTTAGGCCGCTTGCATGTGTCGGTCACAGGGCACGGAAATTTACATGACTTTTTGGTAGTGTGTACATAAATTTTGCGTGGTTCTACGTCATACTGCGGTCGTGTATAGGACACAACCCTTTAATTTTTTCTGCCGCTCTGGCCAGAGCGCCGGTTCCTTTGGTTTGTTTTTTTCCGTCGATCTTGTTTTCCGTGCTGAGCACCAATGCTACCGACGTGCCAGGAAGGCAGCTCCCACACCTGGACCCTACCTATCGACCCATCAACTCATGAACCGGGGACCAACGGCTTTACTTCCCATCCGAAGGAAGGCGTGATCAGAGATGTTATGCCTCAGAACATTCCGGCGGCGCCGACTGGGATTGATCCCAGGCCTGCTGGGGTGAGAGGTAATCACGCTTACCACTACACCACCGCAGAGCGCCGGTTTGCATTGTTAAGTCGAAATTAATTGTTAGCACTTATCGTCAGGAAAATAGTTTTGGTCAAACAAGTAAGTTTAGTAACATTATTGTATACACGAATAATGTTTCTATCATTTTAGGCAATGAAACGGCAGCACAGCAGCTCCAATAAAATGGCGAAAGGCCGTGGAGAATGCACCTGAATATTCTGGATCGGAAGGGCAGCTCAGCTCAGCTGCTTCTGAAGGTGAAAGTGCTGTGAAAATACCAAAGCTGGAATTTCAAGATCCAGCAAACAGCAGCAGCAGTTTGAGCTCCAACTCCCAAGCTTTTGGGCCGGCATCATCGATCGAGCATAGGCTAGAAATTATGGAGAACAAGATGGACGACATGGGAAGGCAACAGGAAAAATGTTTGCTTCTTCTTGCACAAGCAAATGCCAAAATCGATTCCCTTTCATCGGCATTGGAGAAAAAGCAAACCGGAGAGGAACCTGAAAAATCGCTCGAGTTGACGTTGACGCTGAACCCGGTCAAAAGTTTGGAAGACTTGGAAGCCTCTGAGGAGCTATGCAAGGATGATTGCTATGTCGAAAAAGTCGTTCGTTCGATGGGACAAATTCACGGAACAAACCGCTTCAAAAACGATGAAATGATCGATTATTTTGTTGATAGGCGATTTTTCCGCCACTATTCCTGGACTGGCATAAGCAAAACATTTGATGAGAACCAGCAGTTGGTGCGAAAAATTGCATTTTCCAAATATGACAGGTACATAAACCTCTTCTACAGGGTTATTCGTAATGCAAATGAGGATTTCACTAAGAATGACTGTAATAAGTTTCTGAAACAGTGCCTAAGAAATTCAAAGCAACGTTTGGATGATACGAAGATGCTGAGATTGCCGGCAGCCAGGAACAGACGCAAAGCTCTCCCCAACCATTCTGAGCACAAAATTGAATACCTCGATGAGGTAATCGACCAAGGACAACTATGAGGGCCAGAGATGAACGAGAGTATGAACGAGTTGATCATCGAAGAAACAGTTTTTCCTGAATTGGAAAATTATTAAGATTGTACTGTATAGCCTTCGAGGTGTTTTGATTAAATGAGGATTCAGCAAGACATTATCAGGATTTGAACTGTTATCATTTTGTTCTAAGTTATTCAGGTTAAAGTTGAATTGTTAAACAAAAGGTTAAATAAATGGCAGGTAAAAAGCCAATTACCAGATGCACTTAACATTATTTTACAAGACAGAATTTTGAAAAGAAAAGGATTCAGGATAATGGGAAGTACAGTCAACTCTCCCTAACTCGATATTGAAGGGACCATCGAGTTAGGCAGGATATCGAGTTACCGAGCTAAATTTTGGGAATTTGTAAGTCGTTTATGGTAAACCTTTGGGTAATAGAAGTGATGCTACCGAATGATGTAGGGGAAACGTGAGTAAGCTAACCATATGGGGCAAGATGAACAACGTATCATATCACATTTCCCCTATTTAGTTTTCGTATAAGGGTTTCAAGTCAAGATATTAGGGGCTATTCATAAACTACGCAGACAGTAATTGCACGTTAATGGTATATTTATAGCATATCTTCTGATTCATGGAACCTGATATTTTACATTTCTATGTCTATGATGGAAGTGTATGGATTAATGGTAAAAATACTGTTTCATCGGCAATAGTCAAAACTACAAACTTGCACAATACACTGCTTATCGAATAGAGCTGTTGATTTTTGAAAGCCTTACGTCAGTTTTGAATACGTTCATCTAAAGGATCGTCGAAAAGATGAGTTTTTGGTCTAATCATTTCCTTGCCATAAATGCCCTCAACATTAGCGAAATCCATAGCGACTATTTCTTGCTCCGTAGTTAAAAACCACTTATCAGCGAAGTTAGATCGTAATCTACATTATGGATTAAGAAAAACTTTCAAATATTTAGATTCATCAATTTTGGACGGTTCTTTGAATGATGGAAAATACTGACTAACGGAAGATATTATAGAATAATGACTATATTTTTCCGTCATTCGATTGATAATTTGAGATAGAGGAAGCTTTCCAGATCTAGCCATATTTTTAATTTGATACAAATTATTTTCAAAAGGGTAAGTAGAAATAGATGGAAGAGAACCTAACTATTGTGTTGCTCCTGGGTAAAGAAGAACTGCATTATAACACACCATCGACTGGAAATGCTCTCGCAACGTGGGGCTTTAGGTAGTGATGAAAACGTCGCTAGAACTATTCCACAACTGCGGCAGTCAGTATATGAGCAAAAAGAGGGACGCACATTTTTGCCTGTAAACTTGGAGACATACTTCAAGTCTACGCGTACATCGGAAGGGTTAGGCAAAAATGTGCGTCTATCTTTAAAAACTGTCGCATTAATGGCCCTTCGCTCATTTTCAACTTCTATTCAATTTTCATACTGCCGTACTCTAACGGAACTATCCACCTACCCTCTTCTAAAGATCATTCTCTAGCTAATAAATCATCACATTAAAGCTTCAGGTTAGCATTTCCAACCAACTCCGGACAAGTTTACTGTTCCGGAGGAAGTAAGGAAGCAGAAACTTTCAAAGTTTGCTAAGCAATTTGGCAAGCGATCTGCTCATGTGCGCCGTTTATGACTACCGGGTCTGTAAACGGGGAGATCTACCTCAAGGAGTATCTACAGAAGCGTCTGCTTCCTCTGTTGAAGCAACACGAGGGCCCTAGGATCTTCTGGCCGGATCTAGCTTCGTGCCACTATTCAAATGTTCTCCTGGAGTGGTACGAAACCAACGGGGTCACTTTCGTACCCAAGGACATAAACCTCCAACGCACCGGAAATAATGCCCATCGGAAAATACTGGGTATAATATAGCGCAGGCACTACGGAAGCATCCCAAGGAGGTCAAATCTGAGGAAGACATGAAGAAAAAGTGGGTTGCCGTACAGAAGAAGCTGCAGCCAGATGTTGTACAGAACCTAATGAGCGGAGTTAAGCGCAAGGTGCGAGCGTACGGTTATGGTATTGAAGTTGAATGAATTAAATATGCCAAAAGCTTACTAATGGGTTATATTTTATTGTCTGTAAGTTTGAAAAAGATTGGTCAACGAGGTAATTTTCTACAGCATTTTTTTCATTGATGCAATTTGATTTGGGCCACCCTTTATTTAGTTGAAGGTATGCAGTTGGGGTTACAGTTGTGGCGTAATATTCTAGAAGAAGAATCATAGTTATTTTTAGTTGTAGTGTAATGCAAAATAACAAATTCGCTTTTTGACACTAAACTAACAAATTGATTGCTCGTTCCCATACAAAGCCCCTCCGAGGGGCGCTATGATGGTGATTCTTGCTAATGTAATCGTACTTATTCAAAATAGTTCCAGTGCATCAAAATTGATGAAGTTTTGTTTTTCGGACCTACCTTTCAGATTTGCTTCCACTCACTTGCTATTAAAAATGTTTTTTTTCGGAATCATGAAACTATTGGATGTTCTAATGATATGTTGTACTTGTAAGAAGAGGTTTTAAAGTATGTGTTTGACTTATAAATGCTGTCAATTTCGTTTTCAGAGCGTCACAATCAGTGATTTTATGATTCGTGAGTGTTCACTCAGAGTGAGCGCTCACGAATCGTAAAATCGCTAATTGTGATGCTCTGAAAGCGAAATTTGCAAGTTTTAAGGGTCAAAAGCTTACATTACAACCTGGTCTTGTAACATAAAAGTACTAATTATCATTATAATATCCAATGATTTCATAGCTCAGAAAAACAATTTGTTATAAGAAATGAGTGGAAGCAACCTCAATGCATACAACGGATATGCAATAACCTCTATATCCCCAAAGAACCAAATTCAAGATTTCCTCGTAAATTTTAATAACCTTCATTACATGACGTTTAGAATCCAGATACGAAAAAAAATCTGTTGGAATTCTGAAATACTGCACAAGCCTGGAATATTAAAATCATTCCAATATATTGAATAAAGGCTTAGCTAACATTCCAGTCGACAATTCCAATGGATTTTAGCATCCCTTATAGCTTTTCTCTTGTTTCTGAGATTAAAAAAATCTTCACTTTTACTTTCAGAAAACCAAGCTTCTATACTGCTAATTGTGTACAGTTCGAATTATTAGTTTCCGTTTTTTGTTTTTAACACAGGCATTCACGCAATGTATGAAATTCACTTTATGAAGCAAGTTCAAAAAGTAGTTGTGTTTTATATACAAAGTTGGAACAAAGGAATCAAAACTAAAAATCAGAGGAAGAGTTATCTTGCAAGGTGAAAGGAATTGAGAGCGACATTTGAGATGTTATTATTGTTTACCGTTACTTATTTTGGCTCGTTGATCACTAGTCATTTTGTCGGTTTGCGATTTTTGTGATACCCTGGTTACCTTTTAAAAATTCAAACCGTTCATGAAACTCCTTTCAAAAGGAAATTTTTTCCTTACCAAAGTGTTTTCTTCATTCTGCTTATGATGAATAGATTTATCACCAATTTTTCCTTGGTTTGTTTTCCGTCGATCTTGTTTTCCGTGCTGATCACCAATGCTACCAACGCCAGGGAGGCAGCTCCTACACCTGGACCCTACATATCGACTCATCAACTCATGAACCGGAGACCAACAGCTTTACTTTCATTCCCAAGGAAGGCGTGATCAGAGATGTTATGCCTCAGAACATCCCAGCGGCGCCGACTGGGATTGAACCCAGGCTTGCTGGGATGAGAGGTAATCACGATTACCACTACACGCTGCTCCCAAAGGAGAGTTTAAAAAGCGCAATAAGGCTGTCCACGAGACAGTTGCGATCAGCTGACTTATTTGTTCACCAAGAACTTTTGACAGATCACAGTAGAACTGGCAGTTCATTCTCATATGAATTTCTGCTTTGTTTATGTTTACATTCAGCACCATTAAAACCAGATCACTCACACACTCTAGATTTCTAGCTGTCAGTTACACTGAGAAACGTCTTTTGGATCACCTTTATAAGAGATTGGTGAGAGTGGCGCCGGTAGTGTAGTGGTAAGCGTGAATGCCTCTCACCCCCCCCCCCCCCCCCCTTATTAAATACCCGCTATTTGTTACACTGTGGGGCATAATGCGCCTCTTGAATTGTAGTGTGGAAAGCATAACCATCAGGCGTAAACCATTGAAATTCAACAGAGGAAGAGCGTAAGCTTTCTTTTTCATTAACCGAATATGCGAAATTAGCCAGCAGTACAGTAGCCGTTCAATGTTGGCAACAAGCCCGAAAATTTAATGTATGTATGTATGTATGTATATACAATCCAACTTCCACTGTCCGGCAGTGTTTTTATGGAAGAAAAATGTTTGCAATATAATCTATTATTATTATACTGACCTCATTGCAAACAATTTTAGACCGGAAGTTGAAAGGCGATAGCTCTGTTGAGATTCAGTAACCCATTTCAGAATGCCTGGTCACTCACGTCCATTCCGAGGTTACTTTCACTTACAACAAACCCCGCATACACGTAGTATCGATATAAAATGTATATTGATACTGCATGTACACTTCCATCATCAAAGCAATTCCTGCTTTGTAGATGGCACGTATTTAGTACGATGCATTTCATATTTTTATATCTAGTTGTAATCAGTTAGATCTCACCGCTTATGTATTGTGTCCTCGACGTGGAAGGATCGTAGTCTAATCTGCAAAATCATCTTTCCCGGTTATTGTCCAGGGGGCAGAACGCCAATACCAAATACGTAAAAAGACACGGCAAACGTTGCTTCCGGGAGTGGAGGCGTAGCACCGAAACACACTAGCACGACGCTACAGCAACACAACTATTCAAAAAAAAAATCTAACCCGAGAATTTTCACAATAATTTACAATATTAAAACACCGATAAATTAATCATGATGAATCTATATTCACATGATAATAATGAAAACGAATTACTTTTTTCCTTGGTACAAGCCAAACAGCACGCGGAAAACCAACAAGCCCGAAAA